AAATTTATTAATTTAAGTAAGCATACTGCATCTCCTTTATGGATAAATCATGTGCACCAGAAGCCCCAAAGCTTGATGACATTCTGTGAAGTTTCACAAATGTATCTGAAGAAATGTATCTGTTCTTGTCCTAATTTTGATTCCAAAGAAAAATCCAATCTCAAAATCAATTAAGAAATATTTTAATCTAGGAAATCTTGGGATTGTTACATATATCAAACCTTATCTCTGAGAGCCTTTCCTACTCATCTTACCATGGGTCCACTCACAAATCCCAGCTGGTGCACAGTGGCACTGCCCCAAATAAGAGGAAGCTAAGAGCTTGGCCCCAAGACGCCCCCACCATCCTGGTAGGTTTGCTCGGCCTTCAGGATGTGTGACTATTGCTTCTGGGGTAGGTACAGGGCAATCAAAATCGAGGAAGAAACACTCCAGCAAAGCAACCATTATTTGTCCACAAAAACAGTGAAAGACCGTGATATAAAACTGACAAACCAAATATAAATCTAATGCCATTCTGCATTCCCAGAACTTGTTTTTGTGCAGTGTTCTTGGTCAACCACTCACCAATTTTCTGTGTCTATCTGAAGTACTTTTATTAAGTTATTAAAACTGCTCTTTTGACCATAAGTCATATAGAATTATGATGATTAGGAAATCAATTTACCTAATTATTATTCTGTGCAGGGCACCCACTAGGGTGGTGAATGTAGAGAAAATAAAAAATGGAAGTTCTCTCACGTCTAAACTGGACATAGGAGTTCTCAAATTAAAATCACAGAAAAGGAGGGGGCGCTTACTGGCAACATTAATACTAGACACCAGACAGGACAGTGACACGGTTTGGTCAGAATCGAGGAAAATCATTTCCTTGAAAAGTCTTAAAAACACCTAACCAAGCACTGCCTGAAGTCCAGTGAGTACAATGTTCCATACATTTCCACAAAAATATAGTAACCGGCATTCATTATGCTCCACATCATCTCAGTCTCCACTTCCCAGGCAAAGTGTCCCTGTCCCACTGCCTCTAGCTACAGGCTATCGTTTCCAGCTGCTGCTCTGCTTCTGCAGCCATTGCTGCCGCCTGCAACTGTTCTGTCTCGCTCTGGATGGCACTGGGGGTAACCTGCTTCCTTTCACTGTGCATATTGTTCTCATGCCTTTTCAGATCAGATGCCTTGGCAAATGCCTTGGTGCAGGAGCCACACACAAAAGGCTTTTCCCCTCTGTGTCTTCTTTCATGATCCTTGAGGTGAGACTTATGTTTGAAGGCTTTGTCACACATGTGGCATGCAAATGGTCTTTCATTACTGTGAACCCTCTCATGCTTCTTTAAGTCTGGGGCGCGGATAAATGATTTTCCACACACCTCACAGCTATAGGGCTTATAGCCCGTGTGGATTTTTAGGTGTTCTTTCAGGTGGGCCTGTGTGGTGAAACCTTTTGTGCACATTTCACAAACAAACGGTCTGTCTGCCGTGTGGAGTTTCTCATGCTTCCTCAATCTGCCTTCATCAGAAAACGTCTTCCCACACGCCTGGCAGGCAATCTGCTCCCGATGGTGACCATAAAGCAAATACTCAAACTTCATGTCACTGGCGGCCGTTGTCCAGCCTGGTGTCTGTTCATCTTTCACTTCACTCATCCCATCATTAAATGTTAAGGCTTGAGGGGTCTGGGACCCCAAGTCTTTTGATTCTGGGGTCTCCATGGATTCTACTTCCTGGCCGTAGCAATTGACCTTCCGAACTTCCTCACTCCCCAGCTCTTTCAGGATCGCTTCCTGAACCCTGAGCGTTGTGGTGGGTGACTTGCCGTCCTCCTGACTTGGGGGGGTGCCTTCTACTGTGTCATCAGAAGGACTATCATCCTGATCTCCGATTTCCTCTACATCATCATCCTGGGTGTCAGCAGCATCACCAATGGGGCGATTTATTTTGAGACAGTACTTACTTTTGGACTGACCATTGTTTTCATCAGGGCTGGACACATCGCGCTTTTGAGAACACAGTTTATCCAAAAATCGGATACCAAGAATCTGACCTGATGACATCATTAAGTTAACATCTTCCTTTTTCACAGAAATCTTTGCTGTGTACATGTAGTTCAGGACCTCTTCGAATATATCAGAACGAAGGAAATCTATTTCTATGACTGACGAACTATCAACCTCAAGCTTCTTGAAAAGCTTTTTAAAGTAGGTGCTGCAGGCAGCAAGAACACATCTATGTGCTCTGAATTTCACATCCTCAACCACAATAGCAATATCACAAAATTCTCCTTCCAGGCGTTGTTCATTTAGTGTTTTCAGAAACAGAGTTTTATGATCATCGTCATTATATTTAATGGTTTCAGACATACTGATGAAAAACTCCTACCAAAAAAAAAAGAAAGTTTATAATTATAAATAGTACTTTTCCATACAGAGAACACAGTCATATTTTTCATTTTCTGGTCAATCTATGGAATCTAACAATTTCAGAAAGTCAATGTTAAGAGTGGTCCTTAAATATGGGTACCTGATCCCAACTCAAGGATTTCCATACTGTTATTTCTATTCATCTTTAATTTATTAGATATTTGCCTAGTTATATCCCAGGCATTGTTCTACGTGCTTTATATGTTTTAATTAATTCAATAGTCAGATAACCTCATGAGTTACCTATCACTATCACCATTTTATAGACAAAGTTAGAAACCTGCCCAATGTTCTATAGCTATTTAGTGAAGAGCTGGGACTTAAATGCAGACAATCTGGTTGCAAAACCGGTGCTTCCTGACAACTAGAGAATACCAAATAACTTAAACTCAACGTTTAAGAAACAGGTTCAAGGGAAGGATCCTCTAGTCCTAGATGTTGCACCCACTCTTACTCCATCTAGTCCATTGAAAATTCAGCAAAATAATGAATTGTGTTATACCTCCGTGACAGAAGGGACAAATCACTATTGCAGAACTAAAGAGAAACATTACTGCCAAAATATCCCATTGAGTGTTGTCTTCTAGTTTTGGGCCACTTCTAAATTAAAATTAAGGTTGAATCTGACCTTAAGAGAAGCAGATGACATTTGGGAAGACAGTGATGAGTGGCTTTGTTCTCTCTGGATGCCAATCTACCACCATCCAGATAAAAGTGCCATCAACACCAGATGTATGTACTTGATCAGTGCTGAGAGTATTTTATAAGCAAAAATTTGGAACTTGCATGAAAGACCTCTGTTATCATGTTAAAAAACTGATTGTCTTAAAGCATTCTCTATGTTTCCTTTTTAAAAACATTGTTTTACTTTTAGTCAGCAAAGTAGTTTCCCCCAAATAGAAGTGTTCATGCACAATCAGAATTGGTATATATATTTTAAAGCAAATGCTAAGTCATTTCATCAAGATTTAAAATCCAAAGTTATAGTTACCATGAACAACTCAGGCTTTTATCTTAATGCCTTAAACACCAAAATCTTCAGATCAGAGTAACTCTGATCAGGAGCACGCCAGACCTACAGAGGAAAGGACAAATAAGAATGAGGTAGGATCTTCCTGTATCCCAAATCCTAAACCAATAATGTTTTCAAGAATTAATTTTTTAAAATAAGCTTTCTTGTTCCCTCTCTTGTGCATTTTCGGGTTGGGAAGAGAGGGGCAGGTGGCTGGCACATCAAACGCAGTTCTGAACAGATACGGACTGGAACAGATAAGAGCTGTAGCATGTGGGCATAAAGGGGACGCCCTGGGAACTGGAAGGAATTTCTCCTCACACACTGGCCCATGTCTGTACTTGTACAGATGTTAATGGCTACACAGATACAGAAAAAACAAGTGTATCGTACTCCCTTCACCCATCCCATCTCCCACTGGGTATGTAGACCTCTACATTTTTCTCTAGGCTCATATAAACATATAGAAGTTTATAAATAAAGCTATAGACATACATAAGCCCAACTGGTAACATGGGAGGAGAGGGAACAATGATTGCTTTTTCTTTCTGCACCTGTGTGATACACTTATAAACATTTGTCTTTAAGACTGCATTTGAGAAATCCAGGTGTTTCTACCTCTATCCCTAGAGGGAAGGTGAAAGAATTTTAACTTTTTTTGTGTGAGTTTTAACTCTTACCGGAAGAACTTCATCCTGCAGACCCATATCCTGAAAAACAAAAAGTTTCCTCTACTGAACAGTGACCACACAAGTTGTTTGGTGTGGTAGGAGCAAAGGACTGGGCTGTAATAGTCCTAACACAAAAACCGTGGAACAAGACTCCAACCTGGAGACCAATACCTTGAAACTCATAAAAAGCTCCTTCTAAAGAAAAGTGAACGCACGGAGCTGCCCAGCATAAAAGCAGGATGTCTCATCCACAGTGTGAGATCAGGCAACATTATTCCAAAAGATGCTTCTGACTTGATCATTCTACATGTCTCTGCCTCCCTATTCCCTGGAAGCACCCAGGCCTGTAGTCACCCTGAGAGAGTAGGCAGCCCAGGCAAAAACCTTCCTACTGTGACACTTCCTACTGTTGTCACTAACTCGCCCTAGGGTTTATGGGATAAAAGTGCACAGGACCAGGGAGAGGAGTGGCCTATTGTAGCTATGACAACATATCAATGTGCTGTTGTTGTTTTGTTGTTGTTGTTGTTTTGGTTAGTGTGTACTTGGCCACCCACACCCTCCCCTCTCTCTCAAGATCTATGATGAGACCTGGTAGGGAGATCATGTGCATCCATCGCAGCCTCCTATCCGCCCCGCCCCCCTTGCCATTGAGATGTTCCAATTGCTAAGTTCAGGTGAGTAAAACTGCAAGATAGCTGTTGCCAGCATCTGTGTAGGTATGTGTAGGAAAAGAAGTAGCCACAACACCAGCTCTATAAGGCTGTCCCTTCATAATTGCTCTCCGAACTGCGGGAGCGCCGAGCCGCGTTACAGTGCAGTGAGCAGGGGCTTCCCGCAAAGCCAAAAACTTACATAAGCAGCTGCAGCCTCCTCCCCTGCCCCGGGCAGCCCGACAATGGCGGCTGCACGACTTCCTTGTTGCAAGCTTGCAACTTCGGAGTAGGGAGGAAGCAGGGAGCCACACGCAAGACCCAAGCAGCCCTCAAGGCGTAGCTATCAAGCCCTAGCTCTCAATTTCTTTGGGCCCGGGAGGTGGGGGAGTGGAGGAGGTCGTTTGCATTCCTTCCCAGACAAAAGCTCCCAGCCTGGGAGCCAGGTGGTGAAAGGGCTACTTTCCCTTTCATAATCAGACGTCTTCAAGCGCAAACTGGGGACCGCGGCTCCGAACGCGCAGGGAGGGACTGCGGCCCGCGGCGGCCCCGGCGGCGCGACGAGCGGGAGCGGGCGTGCGGCCGGCTCCGCAGCCCCGCGCCGCGCCGCGCCCCGCTCTGCCCGCGAGCCCGGAGCTCGCGCCCCGCGCACTCCCCGGCCAGCTCGCGCCGGGCCTTCCCCCGCCCTCCCGCGGCCGGGGGCGGGGGCGGCGCGCGGCCGGCTAACCCGAGCTCCGCGGGCGCACAAGGTGGGGGTGCAAGCGCTGGGGTCCTGGCTCCCTCATCCGCCGGCTGCTGGGGGCGGCGCGGTGGGGCCCGCGGCTCGGAGGGGCGGTGCCCGGCGGGCCGCGCTCCGCGCCGGGTTCGGGCCGTCCCCACCCCCACCACGGTGCACTGCGGCGGTGCGAGCAGGGGCGGCCATGAACTCGGCCGCCGAGGCTCTGCGAGCGCGCGCGCGGGGCCGCCGCCAGGCCGCTCTCCGAGCCCGCTCGCCTGCCCGCGCGGCCCCCGGGGCTCCCCGGCCCCAAGCCCAGCCCCGGCCCACGCCCTTCCCCGCTCGCACCGCGCCGCGCCGCTGGCGGCCGCCGTACATCCTGGAGCTGGCTGGTGCTCCAGAGCTCGGCGAGAACGCGCGTCTTCCGGGCCGCCCCGCCAGCCGCCGGCCGCCCCCGCGCCCGCCTCGCCGACGGCCCAGGCCCCCTCCGCACCCCAGCCCGCGCTTACCTGCAGCCTGGCACAGCCACAGACACTGCCGTGGGTTCCCCGCGCTCGCTAACAAACGCAGGCAGGGACGGGATGGACTCGGGGCGCGGGGGCACAGTGGGTGGCAGTGTGTTTTGGATTTTTTTTTGGAGTTTGGGGAGGGGGCGGGGTGGGGGAATCGTGCACGTCCCTGATGGTAGCAGCCCTCCTCCTGCACGAGCACAGAATGTCTAGCCGGCCTCGAACACCCCCACCGCCCCCCCCTTCCCGTGCATGCGCGGTGCGGGCTGGGGGGAAGGCGCGCCGCCGGCTCGCGCAGGCACGGAACCCGACCGGGCCTCTAAGTAGGCGAGCAGAGAAAGGGTTAATCCGGGCCTTTGCCGACGCTTTCGTTGGAGACTACGGGGCCGCCCCTCAGAGGGCCCTGGCCTGCGCACGCGCGCGCACGCGCGCCGCTTGGGGCGCGCGGAACCCGCGCGCGGGAGAAGGAGTGGGCGGTGCAAAGGGCGGGACTTAAGGTGCCAGAGAATTTAAGCGCGAGCCTCGCGGGCACCCGCCCCGCCTCGAGCTCACTCCCGCCCAGACTCTTGGGCTCCCTCCCGCGCCCGGCGCCGTGGTAGCGCCGGGGACGCGGGAGCCGGCGCTCCCGTGCGTGTGCATGTGCGTGGGCCAGAGCCGCCCCTGGGCGCGCGCAGACCCGACGCAGAAGCTGCGGGACTCCGCTGCGGCTCGGGGCGGGAGCCCCGGGCACCTTAGTTCTCACCGCGTACCGGCCAACTCCGGGAGGCGCGCCCCGGGGCCTGCGGTCTTGCCTCCTGTCGCTGGCATATTGAATTTGTGGGGGGTGTGAACGGCGCACAATAAACGTTTGCAGAACAAATGAAAAAAGTGACGTCTTTAATTTGTGGTGTAAAGCGCAGCCCCAGTCCCCCAGCAGAAAGGGATCATCCATAGGTCTCTGGAGCTAGCCAGGTCCTTACCAAGACACTACCCAGGAAAAGTCCCGGGAGCTGGAGGCGGCGACCCCTCCGTGGCAGACTAGACCCTGGATTCAATTCGGAGAGCTCTGATAACTCGGCTCTGCCCTTACATCCCTGCTCAGCGCTAGTAATGGCTCCGTTGCTGCTGAACCACGTCGCTTTCCCTCTGACGCTGCGGCTGTGCCGGTGCCTGGCGTCGGGAGCTGGGAAGTCCCTCCCGCTCCCGCGTTTTCTGCTCACCAGAATGCTGGAGGCTGGACAGCAATGCCGCGTCGCCTTAGAATCGCTCATGTTGCTTTACCTCACACGCGAACAGCGTTTCACCCAAACGCGTAATTTCATATCTAAAAATTAGAGCAGAATCTTCCTCCAGGGCTTATGTGAAGATGACAAGATAATGCAACAGGCACCTACGTAAACATTTGGTAAATGATATGATGATTGGCTGTATTCATTTTCTAAAGGAAATTCCAAATGACCTCAGTTGATTTTGTAATATTAATCGACTTTGGTTTCACGTTCTCCAAGGTGCCTTAATATACCTTTTTTTGATGTTCGCAAAAGCACCCAAGATGCGGCTTATATGAAAGAAATAGAATGGACGAGACCAGTTGTAGAGTCAGACACATCCAGTTCAAATATTGGTTAAATTGTTTAACTTTTCTAAACCTCAGCTGGAGCAGAGCTATGAAAAGCACCTAATTAGGCAGTTGTAGGAATTAAGTGAAATAACGCCCAGCTAAGTGCTCAGTTCAGTTATTAACTCCATGATGTAAATGGCCTGAGCCCACAGATAGTGGGTTCCAGTGGCCTGGACAGGACAAGAACCAAGTAGTCTGCCGACAAAGTTCACACCATCAGACACGATACCCTGTACTCGCTCGCTTTCTTCTTGTTTGCGTAGCTCTGAGAGTCGCATTTCAATGCTGTGTATGTTGTGTGTTTACAGGGGGATAATAATAGTACTCTTTCATAGGGTTGCGTCACCAAGAAGTAAAGCAGCCACCGCAGTTAGCACAGTGTGTGGACACGGCCAGCACTCAGTCATGGTGCAATGGCTGCTGGAGCTCCCCGTCCTCCCACACCACATATGGGCTTTCCCACTCATTCTGTGTGTATTTTTGGTCTGCCTGCTGTGTAAAGACAATCTTTTCACATATGGCTAGGAAAAGTCTTCCCACGTTTCAACTAACCCGATAACATAATTCACAAGAGTCCTAAAGCACTAGAATGCATTTCTCAAGCGATGGTTCCTGACATCCTGATTTTGTATCAGTGAAACCTCTTCTCTCATTTGATTCATGTTCCATGTCACCTGGGCTGTGCCTGACTGTCCCTTGCTGGTTCACAGGGGTTGTGGAGATGAGTCTAAATTAAAGGGACAACTCTGTGGGAAGGAGGAGGGAGGGATGGGGAACCATAAAGAAACAGCCTGACCCAGGCCTGGCTTCTTGCCTGTGTCGCCACCCAAAAGTGCACCTCCCAGCCCCGGGGGGTCTTTCAATAAACATCAGCTGACGGAGAGTGGCAACCTTGAACTTGATACTAAGGGGCTTTGTAAAGTACACTGTGGAGTGAACTGGGCGTCAGAGCTTTTTTAACACCCACTGACCCCAGACCTTTGACAAAGGTTTCCGCCTCTTCGGACAACTTCACTGGGTAACATTTGGAGCATGTTGTTCCTCATCTGGGACACCCATGTTCTCCTGAGTGGAACCTGTTTCTAAGAATTCTGAGGCCTGGGTCATGGGCCCATGATGTGCAGTCCCAGGTGCCAGGGTCTCATGTGGTTACAGAGCAGCCTGGTAAAGGACTGTTTGTTTGGAAAATGTATGTCTCATAAGCGGGGGAGGTTGATTTCTCCCTCACGTTGACCTTGGGCCCTCTGGCTGGTTTTGAAACAGCAGGATACCAGCAGAGAAGTGGGTCAGGACAGAGCAGAGGCTTTAAGGAGCAGCCTGTGTTCTGCACCTCCTCCTCTGCTGTGACATCCAGCAGGACATGAACCTGCTTAGGCCACAACCTCCTTTTCAGCTTGGGCTCTTGAATGACAAACATACCTGAGAATGAAGCCAACCCAAAATCTGAGCCCAGCCAAGCCTAGGTAGAAGACAGCTCACCCACACACCCATGAGTGAGAAGTAAATGTTTGTTTTATAAGCCACTGGGAGGTTGGGTTTTTTGCTTTGTTTCTGAGCAAAATCTAATACACCTGCCCAAGGAAAAGTGTCTTACCCAATGCCATAAGCACCCTCTCCCGTTGACTCTGAGAACACTGGATACAGTAAATTAACAAAAACCAGATCCAATCCATGATGACAGGGAGATACTGATGTGCACATTCAACAAATAATCACATCATTATACAATTGCGCCTTGCAATAAGTGCTTTTATAGAAAGTTAAAAAGCACAGAATGTGATGAAAAAGAGGAACAGGAGGAATTAATTTTGCCTGGGAAACCAGTCAAAGCATCTCGAAAGGCATGCATTTAAGAACTGAAAGATGAGGGAGGGATAGGCAGAGGGGGAAGAAATAGCATTTCAAGACAGGAGCAGCGTGAACGAAAGAGCCTGGAGTACCTAGAGCTCTGCAAAAGTGGACATGAGCTGGGGTTGTGAGAACAATGGCATCTAGCACCTGTAGGGCCTTGGGGTTTACAGGAAGGGGTCTGCACAGTGAGAGCCCAGAAAGTATGGGCCTTTTAGGTGGAGGGATAAAACCAAAGGAAGATCCTCAACATCTGCCAGGACAAGGAGCATCAAGACAAGCTTGTCTTGTGCTTGTGGAGGAATTACTGCATGAGGATGGAGTTGGCCATGTGGAAAGATCCTTATCCTAAGAATCTGAACTGATGGGGCATCTGGTTGACTCTGGGCAGCAGACACTGTTGTTTCTTCTTCCTCTGGAACCTGGTCATTCAAATTTCCTCGAGGTCTTTTGGGTTAGCATCAGAGGAAACTGGGTGAATAGTTTCCGGAAACACTCTTGTTGCCTTGACAATTCTTCCAAAAATCTAATATAATTTTAAAACAAAAATTACTCCTGTTCATGTAATCATTTTCTCCCAGATACTTTGAAGATTTTTTATTTGTCTTTGTCTTTAGTTTTCAGCATTTTCATTGTGGTGTTTTCTGAGTATGTATTTCATTGCTTATACTGTTTGGGGATTGCTGAGCTTCTTAAATATGTAGGTTTAGTTATATCTTTCTTTAAATCTGGGAAGCTTTCAGATATTATTTCTTCACTTTTTTCAGCAGTGTACTATTTCTCCTTTTCTTTTCTTTTTTTTTTTTTTTTAAGGCATGAAAACCTATTATCCCCAGATCCTTCAGAGAAAACACAGCCCTGCCTACACCTTAATTTCAGACCAGTAGAATCCATTTTAGACCTTTGATCTTCAGAATTGTAAGATAATACATTTGTGTTGTTTTAAGCTTCTAACTTCATAGTAATTTGTTATAGTAGCAATAGAAAACTCATCCACTTTGTGTCCCCTCCCACTCATTCATTTCAGCCCCCAGCTGATCTAGTACATAACATCTAATTAACCTCTCTAAAAAGTCATTTTTATCCAAGCACTTCTTGTCCAAAACTTTCAGTGGTCCCTCAATTCTCAGATGAGAAAAATCTACTCCTGAGTTAGAAATTATAACTTATTAACATTATTCTCAATCACATTCCCAAGCTTAGGCATCAGTAGTGAACACACAGATTTTTATTCTAACTAAACTGGGTTTTTGCCTAGTTTACACTGCTACATTTTTTTTTTTAAGTGTGGAATAAGGTAAGAATACCAGATTTCTCCTGTAGGCATTGAAAAGCCACAAGTTTTTCACAAAAGATATATAATCCTTGTTAAAAATCTAGCTAAAAATCCCAATTGCTCAAACCTGTACTTTAATATTGTTTAAGAATTGACAGCATTCAATTTTCTGTATGTGCACTTTGTTTTTCTGACTAGACCATGAGCTCTTATGGGTAATAAATTGCTTACTTTTGTTTGTCTCAGAGTGGGTAGTACTTACTAAGTTAGTTGAAAAGCATTCCTTATTCTTTTAACCCATTCCAGTCTTATATGTTGATCTTTTTATCAATATCTGATTTTTTAAAACCTGTGAGTAGGTGTGATGTGGTACTGATAAGAGTGTATATTTTGTGTATTTAAAGTGGAGAGTTCTATAAATGTTTATTAAGTTTACTTGTCCCCGATCTGGGTTCAAGTCCTAGATATCCTTGTTAATTTTCTGTCTCATTGATCTATTTAATATTGATGTTGAAGTCTCCCACTATTATTGTGTGGGAGACTAAGTCTCTTTATAAGTCTTATGTATCTGGGTGTTTCTGTATTGGGTGCATATATATTTAGGATCATTAGCTCTTCTTGTTTCATTGATCCTTTTATCGTTATATAATGACCTTCTTTGCCTCTTTTGATCTTTGTTGCTTAAAATCTATTTTATCAGAGGCAAGAATTTCAACTTCTGCTTTTTATTTATTTATTTACTTTTGCTTTCCATTTGATGGGTAAATCTTTCAATATCCCTTTGAGTCTTTGTGTATCCTTGCATGTGAGATGGGTCTGGATACAGCATACTGATGGGTTTTGGCTGTGTCTTTTGATTGGGGGATTTAGTCAATTTAAATTTAGGATTAATAATAATATATGGGAGTTTATTACTGCCATTTGATGTTAGTTGGCCGTTTTGCTCATTAGTTGATGTAAATTCTTCATTATGTTGATGCTCTTTACTTTTTGGTATATTTTTGGAAAGGCTAATACTGGTTGTTCCTTTCTATGTGTAATGCTTCTTTCAGAAGCTCTTGTAAAGCAGGCCTGGTGGTGATGAAATCTTTGAGTACTTGCTTGTTCACAAAAGATTTTATTTTTCCTTCACTTGTGAAGCTTAGTTTGGCTGGATATGAAATTCTGGGTTGAAAGTTCTTTTCGTTAAGGATGTTGAATATTGGCCCCCACTCTTGTAGGGTTTCTGCTGAGAGATCTGCTGTGAGTATGATAGGCTTCTCTTTGTGGGTAACCTGACCTTTCTCTCTGGCTGCCCTTAGTATTTTCTCCTTCATTTCAACCCTGGTGAATCTAACAATTATGTGCCTTGGGGTTGCTCTTCTTGAGGAATATCTTTGTGGTATTCTCTGTATTACCTGGAGTTGAATATCGTCCTGCCTTGCTAGGTTGGGAAAGATTTCCTGAATAATATCCTGAAGAGTATTTTCCAGCTTGGATTCATTCTCTTCGTCACATTCACATACACCTATCAAACGTAGATTAGGTCTTTTCACATAGTCCCATGTTTCTTGGAGACTTTGCTCATTCCTTTTTATCCTTTTTTCTCTAATCTTGTCTTCTCATTTTATTTCATTAAGTTGGTCTTTGACCTCTGCTATCCTTTCTTCTGCTTGATCAATTTGGCTGTTAAAACTTGTGCATACTTCACAAAGTTCTCATGTTGTGTTTTTCAACTCCATTAATTCACTTGTATTCCTCTCTAAATTGTCTATTCTCGTTAGCATTTTGTCAAACCTTTTTTCAAAGTTCTTAGTTTCTTTGCATTGAGTTAGAACATGTTCTTTTAACTCCCAGAAGTTTCTTGTCATCCACCTTCTGAAGCCTGCCTCTGTTAATGAAACACACTCGTTCTCCATCAGGCCTTGTTCCATTGCTGATGAGGAACTGTGATCCCCTGTAGAGGGAGAGGTTTTCTGATTTTGGGTATTCTCAGCCTTTTTAGGCTGATTTCTTCCCTTTGTTATAAATTTATCCATCTTTCATCTTTGTAATTACCAACTTCCTAATTAGGTTTCTGAGTGCATGTCCAATTTGTTGATTCCCAGCACCGGAATCAGAGCAACCCACTGCACGGGCTAAAACAGTGGTGTTAAGATTGATGGTGCTTTTCTGCCCAGGAATCTCTGGTCTGGCTTCCTTCTTGAGTCTATCCTTCAATCAGCTGAATAGGTGACTCTGACTTCCCGGAGCTCCAAACGTTGGCCAAAAGGGGACCCAGTCCCGTTTACTCTGCACCAAGAACCGCCGCACCGAAGCTCCGGCAAAACCACTGCACCAGCCACAAGAGTTGTGCTGGTGACCTGTGGGGCTCCTCCACTGGGAATCTCCTGGTCCATGAGCAACAAAACTTCGTCTGAAAGTGTGGCGTCCTCTCGTTCTCTGAGCTTTCACTGGTAGCCACAATCCTGAGCTGCTAGTGGTCAGCCATCTTGGATCTCTCTCCTCGAGACTATTTCATCTGAACAACACAGAGAAAATATTTTAAAGAATGAAAAGACTTATGGTCTCATGACATAATTAAAAAAAAAACTGAACATTCCTGTTTCTCCTTTTCTGAGACTCCAATGACAGGAACGTTGAGGTTTCTTTTTCTTTTAATTATGTCATAGGACCATAAGTCTTTTTATTCTTTAAAATATTTTCTCTGTGTTGTTCAAAGGAAATAGTCTCTATTGATTCTCTATAATGTATGGACTTGTTCTTTTGCCATTTCCATTCTGCCATTTAGTGAGTTGTTTTGTTTCACTTGTATTTTTCAGTTTTAAATTTTTTCGTTGTATTTTTCTTTATATATTCTATTTCTTTACTAAGCCTTTCTATTCTTTGATTTGAGTGTTCATAATTGCTTGTTGAAGAATTTTATAATAGTTCCGTCTAAGTGTCTAAGTCTTTTTTACTTAATTCCAACATCGTTGTTGTCTCAGTGTGGCCATCTGTTGATTTTTTTTTTTTTTTTTGCACCTGAATTGAGATTTCCTGGGTCTTTATATGCTGAGTGTTTTTGGATCATGTCATGAACATTTAAAATATTATGTTATAATACCCTGGGTCTTGTTTAAATCTTATGGAAAATGTTGATATTTTAATTTTAATAGACAATCAGTTTACGTACTTGTCACTAGTTTTGACACACTTTCTGTATGCTGTGGTTTGGTGGTTTTAGATTGCTACTTGGATCTGTTTCACATGCTCCAAGCATTGACCAGTGCAGGACCTGATCTGTTAGTTCAATTCTCAAAATCTTTCATATGCTGATTAGACTCAGACCCAGCATATGCAGCTCAAGGGGGAGCTTAGAGGTTCATAAACAACTTTAGGGGCTCACTTTCCTGGGCTCATTCCTCTTCTGACTTCCCTGGTACTTTCTACCTTTCTGGAACTCCCTTTTCTGATCCTACATCCAGAAAGTTGGGCACTTCCATGGCTCTACTCTTATTTACAGCTAAGTGGCAGAAGAACCAGAAGAAAAAAAAGAAAGGTTAATTCCCTGCTGGCTTGGTGATAAGCTTTCTTGTTTTCTGACATATTGATTTTAAAGAGCTATAAATTTCCTCCTAAGGACTGCTTTCTCCTTTTCAATGTATTTTTTTTCATGTTACTTTATTTATATTCAGTTCTATGCATTTCTTTTGTTTCTTTATTACTTTTTGTTTTGTTTTTTGTTTGTTTGTTTTGAAATGGAGTCTCACTCTGTCACCCAGGCTGGAGTGCAGTGGCTCAATCTCAGGTCACTGCAACCTCTGCTTCCCAGTTTCAAGCAATTCTCCTGCCTCAGCCTCCCAAGTAGCTGGAATTATAGGCACACGCCACCACGCCCATCTATTTTTTGTATTTTTAGTAGAGACAGGGTTTCACTATGTTGGTCAGGCTGGTCTCGAACTCCTGACCTTATGATACACCCATCTCGCTCCCAAAGTGCTAGGGTTACAGGTGTGAGCCACTGCGCCCCGTGCTTCTTTGTTACTTTTTTATTATTTAATAATGCTACTAGCCCAAAATAGTCCCATGTAATGTATGATTTTATAATATTGTTTCTGATTACATGGGAATATTTTTGAGGTTTCTTTTTGGTGTATTCTTATACTTTGCAGGAATATAGTAAAAAGAAATCCTATGTGCATTTTACTTTTCTCCAGATTTTCCAATTGTTAAAATTTTGCCTTCACTAGCCTAATAATTTGTGCTCACACATCCACACTGTCTCCAGACATACACACACACACACACACACACACTGAACCATCTTTTTTTTTTCTTTTTTCTAGAGCTCTCCCGAGTAAGAAACACAGAGAGTGAAGTAAAGGAGGCCCCACAAAGGGAAGAAACACAGTGCCTCCTCTGTAAAGCTCAGACAGTTCCAGCACAGACAGAAGAAGGGGCCAAGTTTCCTCATTCTGAGCTGCTGAAGGACTTGCCCATCCCACTGAAGCTTCTACTAGATGCTACCAGCAATGACAGTTGAAAGGATGGACTCAGTAGAGAATCTATGCAATTTTTACTTTTTCTTTTTCCTATGTTGAAGTTCCACCCACCCACCCCAGCACCTGTGATATATATATATATAAATATATATATATATATATATATTTTTTTTTTAAAGAAAGAAAGAGAAAGGGGGAGAGAGAACAGGAGTCTTGCTCTGCTGCCCAGGCTGGAATGCAATCTAAAAATAGGCATTAAAAACCTCTTTTATGCCGATAACTGTGCTTAACAGCAGAGACAGGAAGGAATAAGTGGAGAAAATAACAAACAAACAGCCAACCAATATTTCATTTAAGTCTGTGAAATGCTATGCAAATGCTGAAGAGTGATTTACTTCCAATTATGTGGTCACTTTCAAAATAGGTGTAATGTAATACTGAGAAAAATGTATATTCTGTGGACCTGGGGTGAAGAATTCTATAAATATTCACTGAGATGTCCCTGTTAATTTTCTATCTCATTGATCCATCAAATATTAACAATGTGGTGTCAAAGTCTCCCGCTATTATTGTGTGGGAGTCCAAGTCTCTTTATAAGTCATTAAGAACTTGTCTTATGTACCTGGGTGTTCCTATATTGGGTGCATATGTATTTATGATCATTAACTCCTGTTGTTGCATTGATCCTTTTACCATTATGTAATGTCCTTCTTTGTTTCTGAACCATCGTTTAAGAGTTAAGTTACAGATATGCTTCTTTCCCCTAAGTACCTCTGTGTGTATTTCCTTAAAAAGGATGCTCTTTTACATGACTACAGTACAATACTCAAAAAAATTTTTTTGAGATGGAGTCTTGCTGTGTTGCCCAGGCTGGAGTGTAGTGGCACAATCTCAGCTCACTGCAGCAATATCTGCCTCCCAGGTTCAAGTGATTCTCTTGCCTCAGCCTCCCAAGTAGGTGGGATTACAGGCACGCACCACCATGTCTGGCTAATTTTTGTATTTTTAGTAGAGATGGGGTTTCACCATGTTGGCCAGGCTGGTCTTGAACTCCTGACCTCAAGTAATCTGCCCACCCTGGCCTCCAAAAGTGCTGGGATTACAGGCGTGAGCCACCATGCCCAGTCCAAAATTAAGTATTTAACGTTAATACAATATAATACTATTATCTAATGTGTTCATGTTTATATTTCACCAATTGTTTTAATAATGTCTATAATAATGCATATCAATTTTTTCCTGCTCCAAAATTACTCATTGCATTTAGCTATCATGGATGTGCCCTTTGTTATTTATTTCTTGTTTTTTAATAATTAAAATCATTTATTTATTTTTCCATAAGTTATGGGGTACAGGTGGTATTTGGTTACATGAGTACGTTCTTTGGTTGTTTTTTGTGAGATTTTGGTGCTTCCATCCCCCAAGCAGTCTACACTGCACCATATTTGTAGTCTTCTATCCCTTGCCCCATTCCCTTCCCTCCCACTCTTCCCCTCAAGTCCCCAAAGTCCACTGCATCATTCTTATGCCTTTGTATCCTCATAGCTTAGCTCTCACATATCAGTGAGAACAGACAATGTTTGGTTTTCCATTCCTGAGTTACTTCACTTAGAATAATAGTCCCCATCTCATCCAGGTCACTGAAAATGCTGTTGTTTCATTCCTTTTTATGGCTGCATAGTAATCCATCATATACATACCACAGTTTCTTTATCCACTCGTTGATTGATGGGCATTAGAGTTGGTTTCATGACTTTGCAACTGTGAATTGTGCTGCTATAAACATGCATGTCCAAGTATCTATTTCAAATAATGACTTATTTTCCTCTGGGTAGATACCGAGTAGTGGATTGTTGGATCAAATGGTAGTTCTACTTTTAGTTCTTTAAGGAGTCTCCACACTGTTTTCCATAGTGGCTGTACTAGTTTACACTCCTACAGCAGTGTAAAAGTGTTCCCTGGAATAGTCCCCATCTCATCCAGGTCACTGAAAATGCTGTTGTTTCATTCCTTTTTATGGCTGCATAGTAATCCATCATATACATACCACAGTTTCTTTATCCACTCGTTGATTGATGGGCATTAGAGTTGGTTTCATGACTTTGCAACTGTGAATTGTGCTGCTATAAACATGCATGTCCAAGTATCTATTTCAAATAATGACTTATTTTCCTCTGGGTAGATACCGAGTAGTGGATTGTTGGATCAAATGGTAGTTCTACTTTTAGTTCTTTAAGGAGTCTCCACACTGTTTTCCATAGTGGCTGTACTAGTTTACACTCCTACAGCAGTGTAAAAGTGTTCCCTGGTCACCGCATCCCCACCAGCATCTACTGTTTTTTGATTTTTTGATTATGGCCATTCTTGCAGGAGTGAGGTGGTATCCCATTATGGTTTTGATTTGCATTTCCCTGATCATTAGTAATGTTGATCATTTTTTCATAATGTTTGTTGGCCATTTGTGTACCTTCTTTTGGGAATTGTCTATTCATGTCCTTAGCCCACTATTTGATGGGATATTTTTTTCTTCGCAATGTATAGATTGTGAAGATTTTCCCCAACTCTGTGGTTGTCTGTTTACTCTGCTGTTCCTTTTGCTCTGCAAAAGCTCTTTAGTTTAATTAGGTCCCAGCTATTTATCTTTGTTTTTATTGCATTTGCTTTTAGGTCCTTGGTCATGAAATCCTTACCTAAGCCAATGTCTTGAAGGGTTTTTCCAATGTTATCTTCTCTAATTTTTATAGTTTCAGGTCATAGGTTTAAGTCTTTAATCCATCTTGAGTTGATTTTTGTATAAGGTAAGAGATGAGGATTCAGTTTCATTCTCCTACATGTGACTAGCCAGTTATCCCAGCACCATTTGTTGAAGAAGGTGTCCTTTCCCCACTTCATGTTTTTGTTTGCTTTGTCGAAGATCAGTTGGCTGTAAGCATTTGGGTTTATTTCTGGGTTCTCTATTCTGTTCCATTGGTCTATATGCCTATTTTTGTACCAGTACCATGCTGTTTTGTTGACTATGGCCTTATAGTATAGTTTAAAATCAGGTAGTGTGAGGCCTCCAGATTTGTTCTTTGTGCTTAGTCTTGCTTTGGCTATGTGAGCTCTTTTTTGGTTTCATAATAATTTTAGAACTGTTTTTGCTAATTCTGTGAAGAATAATGGTAGTATTTTGATGGAGATTGCATTGAATCTGTTGATTGCTTTTGGCAGTATGGTCATTCTTGCAATATTGATTCTATCCATCCATGAGCATGGGATATGTTTCCACTTGTTCATGCTGTCTATGATTTCTTTCTTTTTTCCTTTACTTTTCTTTTTTTTTTTTTTTTTTTTGAGATGGAGTCTCACTCTGTTGCCTAGCCACATCCAAATGATGCTCATGTAGTCTTTGTTCTTGGCTGAGAGGAGTTTGTCATAGGAAGGGCAGCCTGCCAAAAGGATGCGATCATGGTCCTCACACATGGATATCAGGTGCTGCTCTGCACTTCAGGTGCAGCACACATGATAATGAGCCAGTTTTGTTATGGCATGTCTGATAGAGTCATCATTGGTCCCACTGACTTCCCCACCTTCAATGTGAAGGATTCGGATGTTCATCAAGGCAGCAGATGTAGCCAGAGCCAGGGCATCAAACTTGTCTCCATGAACAATCATGATATCAGGCTTTAGGCGATTAAGGACATCTGGCAGCTTTACTAGGGCCAGGCCTACTGACTCCACCATAGCTGTCTCATCTTCTCCTCTCACAATTGTGTGGAGCCTGGTGTTAATGTCAAAGGCATCTTGTTCAATCATTCGATATGTATTTCCATAGTCATCTATCAGGTGAGAGTCAAGTACCACAACATCAAGTTCAAAGAACTCAGGTTCAGTTTTAATGCCAAACATGATTGGGGCAAGTTTAGAATAATCTGCATGGTTACAAGTAGCAACACAAACCCGCAGCTTTCGGTTATTTCCATTCTTCTCCATGATTTGTTTGTTTCGTTTTGAGAGGTTCTTAAAATAGAGTTCCAGACGCCGTCAGAGGCTCCCTCCCGCGCCGCCACGGCGCTCCTCCAGCCAGAGCCGAACCAAGTGCCACGAAGCCGGCAGAGGGCGAGCCCGCCCCTCGGTTTCCACGCTATATCTTGTTATTTATTTCTAACCTGCTTCCTATTCCTCAAAACCAACACTGCTCCTTTTTCACGTTCTGTGATTTGCCTTCTGGTAAAACACCTGTATCAGAGAGTTTGCATCATTTTAAGTTTAGTACATCAAGGGAAAGACTCCCTCTCTTCCTTGCTTTCCCCATTACCAAGAAATACCATTATATTATCATAGCCCTAGTTCCTAACAACTTGGGATAACTTTGATTACCTTTCTTTGTTCTCTCAGTTGCAAAGCTCAGCTACTTCATTTACAGCAGAGTAGAGCACTCAGCTACACTTGAGAGTTTTCTTCTTTTCTGGAGGACCGACCTTAAGGTTTTACTTTTGTCCTTGAGCAAAGAATATTTCTTCTGCTAGAGTGAAACATGTATTCTTATATTAATATTCAAAATATTTTATTCTCTTTGAACCAGCATGTTATTGAAGCTGAAATTCGTTTCCTCTGGGCATTTTTTTTAATGTGATCACTTTCAAAGTATGGAACATCTCTTCATCCATCATGTGGGCTGATACCTGTCAATTACTCTTCTACTCTGGAATGGTATCCAGACCCATGACACTCCAGGATGTCTGAACCATTGCATTCTATAGGAGTGACACTTTTCTAACTTGCAGCTGTCATTCAAATCAAATCTGTTATTAATGCTTGATAGAAATATCTACCAAATTCTACTTACATCAAATTCTTTTCTCTGTGACTCAAACTGTTTATAATCATTTTTTGCTACTTTTTTCAAAACTGGTCTTCTATCATAGTAACATTTTCAGCCTATGATAGGCAAACTATGTTGCATTATTTCTAGTGTTTAGTAAACTGTTTAGTGTAGTGCACCTATTGAATATAGAATCAACTCATCAGTGTGGTTTAGAATTTAATATTTTATTTCGTCAATTTATCATCACACTGCCAAAAATTATTAAAACTCTGAAAAAAAGAACACTGCAGGGCATTTAGCTATAGCTATGGTGAGTTAAAATTACAATTTCCTCTTTTGGACAACCGAAAACCTATATTGTTTTCTCAACCATAAAGACTTCATTCTCAGCATAATAAGTCAGTGAAAAACCAGAAGAAAATTTCTCCAATTGGCATCTGTCCTGATAGGTTTGTGCAAATGGCATGTGACTCCTCTGTATCACTGTTGCCACTCCTGCCCCTTCTGCCCCCACTTTCCTCCCAGCCCTCTTCCTTGAACAGACTGGGCAGGTTTACCCCTCAGAATCTTGTGTACCTCTGCAACATTCAGGTTACATTGTTAAAATACATTTCAGATTCTCATTGTCTAAATAAAAATCATAGTAGCTGGCCAAACAGCCACTGAAACAGCTCAAGCCCATCAATGTAATATTCTTTAGCTTCTTATCTACCCCCTTTACAAAGTTAGGAGACAGCAAGTCCTCCACTTAATGTACAGAGGAAAATGAAGCAGTGCAGAGCCCTGAGTACAGTATTGATTTGGGTCCAACCAATACCTCTTATAAGCCAGTGTTTCTTGGACAAGTTACTTCACGGTTCAAAATTTAGTTTCCTTATCTGTACAATCAGAATAAAGATAATACTTACTTCATGAGGCTAATTAATTCAATACATAGTTATGAATACAGCAAGTTCTCACTTAAGATTGTGAAGATTCTTGGAAACTTCAACTGTAAGCAAAATGACCCATAGAGAAAACAATTCTTTTTTTCTCACCAATGCTGTAATGAAACAGCATTGAACTGAATGATATTATTGGAGGACGTGCTGTATGTCACTTCCTATCTGTTTTGTGCCAGACATTCTAGGCACTGTGGATATAGCAGCAAACAAATAAACAAATATATCTGCCTCAGAGGCAGACTACAAACAAGAACATAGTTGAAATATATGTTACATTACCTGGTGATAAATGCTGTAGAAAACTAATGTAGTGGAGGGAAATAGGAAGACTGGAAATGCAGGCAAGCAATTTTAAATAAAGCTGTTTAGAAAACCTCACTGAGAAGGAAATACTTAGACCTGAAAGAGGTGAAGGAGGCCAGTCAGGTGCAGGTGATGATGAAGAGCCTCCCAGGAAGACAGAAACAGCAAGTGCAAAGGTCCTGAGCTGACAGCATGCCTTTTGTCTTGAACAAACAGCAAAGGAAGAGACAGAAAAAAGCAGTATGTGGAAACATATGTCCCCGCGCTCACCCTGCACCCATCTATGAAGGAGAGATGACAGTGTGAGAGTTTTTGTTTCTGTTTTCTACTGAGATGTTACATTTATGTTTATTGAACAGAAAAATGCACAACACATCCGATATAACGACAATTTGACATATTTCATGGCAAATTCTTGCATGGTTTAAGAGAAAGAGCTCAAGGAACTAAAATCTTCAAAGAATGAGGTAAAGTGACAGTGGCAGGGAAGGGGTGGTAAATTGTGTAGTCTGATAATCTGACAGTCATAGCTAGGGACTTTGAGAGAGATGGGAGGGGGAAAGGTTTGGAAAGGAAGGAGGGCACCCTGCTTCACTCCAGATAGGTGTACCAATAGTCATGGCTTGAGAGGGTTCCAGGGAGAACAATTCAGACTCAAATTCTCAAATTCTAGAACACCTAAGAAGGTGATACTTTCTTCTGCAGATGGACTGATGTGAAAGGGATAAGAACATCTCCATCAAATTATTTACTCTATTCAAGATATCCTTATGCAAACCTCCATCTTTCCACGGTCAGCCCAAAGTCCTGTCTAGAGATTAGCTACCATTGTTTACCTTGCCTGTTTTGCAAATATGACTGGAGATGAGGTCAAAATGGATAAGTTGAAGGTTCATTTTCTTCTCATAATTTGTTTAGGAATCAATCAAATTTATCTGCATAACTAACCTTCACATTGGATCTAAATTCCAGTTTTTCTTTGTGATGAATGGGCCAAGCATGAATTTAAGCAAGTTAATTTATTAGCTGCTACTATATTCAAACTGCAGCATAATAAAAGTAATGGATGACCCTAAATATTACATGACTATCTTTACTCTTGGGGAACTAGCTAATATATTTTCCCATACATCTGCTATTAATAAAAGTTATGGCCTTATTCTCCACAGTTAAAAAAAGAAAATATTCAATGAGAGTCCTAAGAAATTTATAAAGATGTATAGACCTTTTCAGAACTAATAATTTAAACCACTTAAGTAAATGGAAAAGGAAATGATCAGACAAAATATGTCATTGGCTTCTCATTCTTTGCCTTCAGTGTCAGAATAAAACAGCTTATCTTTCTAAACTGACCTTTTTGGAAAAGTCTGTACTATATTTAATATGAAAAGTCATTTACAAAATTTCATTCTACTATTGGCAAACTTGTATTTAGAATAATTAAAATGAATACTCCTGGGGAAAGTTTGTGCAAGCAAACAAATTCTGAATAATAGTAGGACATTTAAGTATGCTCATGTTAAATTTCCCATCAAAGGAAGTTATATATTTACTAATACATTTATTTGACCTCTGAAATGTTCACATACTCTAGGCCAGCACTAGAGCAATGTTCCACCAAAAAAGAGTAATTATTTTCATTAGAACTGTCTAGCTATTTTTAAATTTCGAGACAGGTTCTTGCTGTGTTGCCCAGGCTGTTCTTGTGCTCCTGGGCTCAAGTGATCTTCCTGCCTTGGCCTCCCAAAAGTGTCTAGCTATTTTTGAATAAACTTTTTACTTTGGACTAATTTTAGATTTATAGGAAAGTCACACAGAGAGTACAGAATGCTCCCACATGCCCCTCTAGCTCATTCTTCCCATTAGTAACACCTTACAAGACAGTGGTATGCTTGTCCGGATTTAAAAAGCTGATATTGTGCATTACTATTAACTAAACTTAAGACATGTTTGGATGTCACCACTTTTTCCATTAACATTCTCTTTCTCCTCCAGGACACAATCCAAAGTCTCACATTGCATTTATTTGTCATGTCTCCCCAGTCTTGTCAGGTCTGCAACAGTTCTTCAGTCTTTCCTTGTTTTTCATGACCTTGGCAGTCTTGAGAGGTACCAGCTAGGCATCCTGTAGAATATTCTCTCAATCTAGGTTCATCTGATATTCTTTTCACGGTTAGATGGGGTTATGAGATTTTAGAAGAATAGCACAAGGTGAAGTACCCTTCTTGTCACATCATTGAACTAGTTTTAAATTACTGTATTTTGACTAAGTAAGCTTTAAGATCCTTTC